CAGGAATTCGTTTTCGTAGCCGAAAAAGTTCGCGTTAGTATAATAGTTATATTTTTTCGTAGTCGGAACGTACAAAAGCGCGAACGTAAAATAGGAACGTCGCTATTATGATAGGATTACGCTTTTAGTATTCGCGTATTTGCGGGAAATCCCATCGAGTATAACGATGACAAATGTCTCGTCGCCACACATTGATATTGCAATTAAATAATGAGACTCGAGTGTTGCGTCTATACGTCGCAACAATGTGGGAATGAGGGCGAGGGGCGAGGTGGGGAAGAAAGCACACTTGATTACAGATCTATGGCTACTTGATTGATGCATCTGTCGCTAGCGAAATTAACACACGTGTTTGTTTATATGTATATAGATTTCTACGTGCTGCGCGACTCGACAATGCCGCGCGATCCTTCGCAAGCTTTCCTCTAATTAACCATTTGTGCATTTCTGGGACAGATTTTTGTCAGTTTAAAGTAGTAGCGAAACGGAAACATTTTTTTTCTCCAAGCAATAAATAGTTGGTAAATCAGCTGATTAATACACACTACTTTTACCTGTAGATAATTGCTCGATTCCAACTTTTTTTTTACTCGTTCATATTTAATTCTATTAATTCACGTATCGATAAAGAAAAACGATTATTCGCCGCTTGTAATATAATTTTTTTTCTGATGTTTGCTACGCGAAACGATTATTTCTTTTAATATACTCTAAAAAATAAAATCGACGATACGTATGTGTTGAATCGATATAGTATGTCGAGATGTTTTATGGATAATTAACGTCAGTACAAAGATAGCCAAAATAAATTATCTTACCACGTAAGAAATGGACGGCAACATATAATACTACTTATCTTCGCGAATATCACATTTGCAAATATCATAATTCTCCGAATATCTATTTTAATTCTTTCTCTTGCAGTCTCTCTCTCACGCGCGCGTCCAATAACGATTATATTACAACTTAAAAAATAAAAATAGTAAAAGCTATTCTAACGAATAACGATGCAAATAAAGCTTCTATAAAATTTCACGATTATTTTAATAGTTACGAGGACCTTTACTCGCTGGATTGCGAGTAATCACGATAATTCCGAAAATATCAAAAAGAAATTAAATCGTTCGCGGCATTCATCATCATGCACAAAGGTTCAAGAATCTTGCTCCGGATAATTTCTGATAAATTAAGTGCAGCGTATGTGCAGTAAATTGCAAGCGCACTCGATGAAAGCTTAAGCTATTTGTAGTGTTGGGCCTCGGATACATGCGCACACGAGTGTAGTTTCTGTATATATAACTACTTCTAAACATTTTTCCATTAAAATGATAAATCTGTTTGAAATAAAATAAATATAAGTAAAAAAATTCATCAAGAATTCAGTCAAGAAATACAGAAATTAAAAAAAGTGCTATCTTCATATATGTGTAATCTAAAAATTAATCAAAATTGATTATCACATTATTGGAAGTAACAATTACACGTATATATATTGACCAGTATAATATTTTTACAATTACACCAAACGGTACAATATGATTAATCCACGAGCTTTTTGGATAGATATACAAAATATAAAAAATTATAAAAATATGACAAATTTATAAAAATTCTAAAAATCTGTAAGAATAAAAATAGATTTAAATAAATTTCAAAATGGTAATGCTTGTGCACATGTATCCAAATACTGTCATACCATTTTGCGCCCGTCACTTACTGCTAGTCAGTTAAATATAACGCAGTGCCGCATATAATAAATAAATTACCGTGGCGTATCAAATCTCAAGAAAACATTGTGGAAACGTTAGCTGAAAGTAAAATATACATCTCTTGATAAATATTTCATTATGAATTCGAATTCTTTTTTGATGCAGAGCTCATTCTGTCCAGATAATTGCTTGTTGAAAAAAAGAAGTTCTATATACCTTGAAGCGTAAATCAGAGAATTTGCATTTTCTTCCGCCAACTTGCTTTCGTGTTTATATTAAGCCAATAATAAGTCACTTTCGTGGAGCCCACAGCTCAGCCTAAAAAGAGCACTTTATCATGTTTTTTTTTTTTTTTTTTTTTTTTTTTTTTTTTTTTCGGTTTTTTATCGCGCGAAATACCTCGGCCGCTTTGTCATTTCATTTGCGAGAATTTCGATTCGGTATATTAACCGCGAAAGACCGGCCGCCGCGTTTCTGCATGCCGTTTATGCTGGCGTGGCTTTTCACATTCCTACAGCTCTCCTTCTCCAGGGACAAACAATGTTAACGACCATACGAAGGGATCGGGATTCCATCTCTACCGGGCTTATTCTATCGGTTTTGTCGCTACAAATTGCTATGCCTGGCAAATGTCCTGATAGAAATTAACAAGAGCGTCTCTATTTTCAGACGTTAAACTTGTACCCTTGTATCCTTTAAATAAATATTATATAATGATTGAAGCGATTGCATTGATATTATTTATATAAATTTTATGTTTAATAAAAATTCACTGGATCAACAAAATCACAAATTTTTTTATATTATCTCTCACCTAATTTAGATTGTATCAACTATTAAATATAAAAATCGAATTTTGACATGCTAGATTTTAAAAAGCTATGTGCAAATAATAAAAATGTAAATTCTTCTTTCTATTAATTTACAGTAGATTTCATTTTTCTTGCGCATGAAGTTCTTGCAATTTCTATCAGGAACTCTGATAGGTTCCCTTTCGCGCAATATTTTTTTTCTCCACGCGTGACAAAGAGAGACATTCACGAAGCCAATACGCGAATTTTTTCATCAATTATCTGCTCAGAAATTCCGCCATGTACAAGCTGCTGTACTTTACTTTCCTGTTTTCTTTCATCTCTCTTAGACGCCTTAATACAGTACATTCCGCGCGTACACACACATACACACACTCGCACTCGTTGAAAATCAGTCGTATATATACTTTTTTTGCAATGCGATTGCCGTTATATAATATATATGGGATAGCACAAGACGCTATTGACCTGCCCGTTTATTAAGAGAATAACTTACCTCGGATACGCCATGATTCGAATAAATATCATACGTAAATATTAGCGTGTGATGACTACTTTAGAAGCAAAATATTCGTATTTTCGATACAGTCGTATTGGAAAAATTGCCGCTATTTACATCGAAAATTTCGCATTTTTGCCTTTCGCGCATACTAAAATCTAACACTAATTTTAAGCTTATATATTTTTTGAAAAAGTACACTCGAAAAAGATCGACATGTCGATCGGGAACAGAATTTACATAAAAAATTATGTAGAATATATTGCGTTAAAAAAATGCGGTTTCTCACTCGAACGAAGAAACGATGCCTCTTTTTGCGCTACAATATTTTTTAAAGATATATATAACTTTTCTTTTTTCAAGTAGTTATTATTATCTTATGCCAAAAATTCTATCAAAGAATTTATGCCAAATTTATATGTCTCTTTCTTTCAATATATAAGATTAAAAGTTTATTTTAAAAATTAATAATTTGATCTTTAGTCGTAAAATAATAATATAACAAGGTAATAATTAAAAATATTAAGTACTATATATTCTTTCACACTGACAATGAGTTTATCTTTCCTTAAACATAATATTAATATATTAGAAATACATCTAATATATAATCAGAAACACGTATAATTTAAAAAAAGAATCATAATCTATTTTAAAAAACTTTCAAAAAATATTTTCCTAAAATAAAAAAAGAATTTTAATACTGTTTCAATTTCTCTATTACAGATATTATTTCTAAAACTAATACTGATATATACACATGACACACCATGTTTCTAACAAATAATAATATAGATTTCTACTTCAACTGCATAAAAAATATTGTTTTTATTGACTAGATTAAAATTTTCATTTCGAATCATCGAATAAATAATAATGTAAATCAAATTAAAGGTGCGAAGTATGTGTGCTTCGCGATACTACATACACAAAAGAAGATGTCCATCGTTCAAACGAGAAACCATGTATATTACCTTCATTTAAGGTAATATTTCCTATAACTACACCTATATATTAATAACAACTAGCGATCGAATATACGAGTTATTTTTTGTTATGTGACGCGCATACAAATTACATAATAATTTACATATATACAACACATAATTAAACGCGCTAAAAGATACTGGTTTTTATGATGAAGAAAGACGACGCACACGTCAAAAGCCGTGCGACGCGGGAAACCGAGGTATATATATTCTTTCGAACATAAAACATTTTCGAGACGGTAGATGCATATATGCATCCTAAGTTTTAAATTAAAGACGGCAATAATAGTTGTCGTTTTAGTAGGAGAATAGTAATAGTAGTGGTAATAGTAGTAGTAGTAGTAATAGTAGCAGTAGTGTGGTATTGATAATAATAGGATTCGATTGATAATAATAGGATTCGATTGATAATAATAGCGATAGAGTGATTATCGTAATAGCAATAATAGTCGTAACAACGCATAATACAAATGCTAAAATCGCAGTTTATAGGATAAAGTTAAAACTTATTATCGCAGACAAAAGATATTTTTTCAGTGAGCTTTTCTGTACCTACTCATCAAGTTCTTTTGGGAAAAACTGGCAAGTACTGTTGGTATTTTTCATCAAAGTAAAAAGATACTTTTTACGATCACGCGATGCATGTCATCGATATCCCTTTTCATTTAATTTACAGTAAATTGTGTATTTTGTTAGACCCCAAAAAAAATACTAAAATAATGCGGGATTTTTTTCGAGTATTATTTCCTATAAGCTGTAAGCAAAAAGATACTTTTTACGATCACGCGATGCATGTCGTCGATATCCCTTTTCATTTCGAATCATTTAATTTACAGTAAATTGTGTATTTTGTTAGACCCCCCAAAAAATACTAAAATAATGCGGGATTTTTTTCGAGTATTATTTCCTATAAGCTGTAAGTGTGCTTGTTATCGATTGATAAAACCGTTATTTTTTGTTTTCTTTCTTTTCTATCTCTCCTTTCTTTTTGCTCTTTGCTGTCTTCATGTTGCGGAATTACGGAATGTTTGCACACACCATTTGTGAATTCGTAATATAATTGTAATTATAACAATGAATGTTCGGAATTGTATTGTGATATTAGCTAGGTAACCGGTTTTTAATGCCCAGCGAAGTCCGGCCTGTCAAATGATGCTTACTATTATGTGACATTCTGTAACACATCACTCTGATATACACAGTATATGGGATCTCAGGCAAAGGATCGAGTAGACACCAAAATGACTGAAAGTAAATATCGGAAGTAACAAGACTTCTATAAATAATATCAAGTGCAGATCTTAATATTACTAATGCGAGAAAAACTAAATGGAATAATAAATGTGAAACTCTATCAAATAGAGTACCAAAAAAATAATGTACTAAATCTACATTTCTTATTCTACAAGACACTGCATTGTAAAAACTCAGTAGCTGAATTTCTACAATTGGAAATTAGTATGTGTGAAGAATGCACCATTATAAGAAACATTACTCTATATTGGCAAGAGAAGCAGAATGAAATCTCTGTATATGATCCAAAGCCTGAGAGTTGATGAATGTAACACTGCTTGGCAAATGTATAACAATATTATAATATGATATGCAACATTTATAATCTAATCTTATTTCGGTACTAATTGTCAGTTGTGCTGGGCATCCATTCATATCATAAACGAAAATCTCGAATGTACATTCGTAGTACACTTTTAACGTGTAAAAAAACATTGCAATCACTTACCAATGTAATAACAGATAATAAAAACCGTTTGTATAATATCGGCAATCTGTGTTATAGTTGCAGTTGTTGCAACTTTTCCCAGTACTATTGTAAATTGTATTGTATGTAAATATATTATAATATATAGCTGCATCTGTTTAGTAATTTGATTGTATGTGAGGTAAGGAGCCTGTTTATATGAATGGTACGACTTAAAAGGTTACGATTCTAGGGGACATACCCAGTGCCCCATTTTCTAGAATCGCTATTATAAATCGTACTTATGGAACTATTGTCATCTGTAAAATATAATATAAAAGATCCTGAGTTGTACTGTGTGGTACTATGGCTATGGAATTGTGCGGCAGATATCTATGCTGGTTTACTTTTATAAAAGTTGAAATTAAATGTCCCTAATAAAAGATGATAAAAGAAAATTCTGACGAAAAATGATAATTAACGAAATCATCATTAAAAATAGCTAAAGACTGTATACGCTATTATATAAATGCCTCTGAAAAATACAAAATATATTTCTGATAAAAGCTTATATAAAAAAATACAATTAATTATTGCCAAAACATTATTGCCCTTTTTCTCTCTGTAAAGAATATACTGTAAAGTTACTCTCGCAAAACTGTTAATACATGTATAAACTTCACACAAAATGCTACTGCGTCTCTTTGATACTTTAAGAATTCTTTGTGTTTGAAAATTAATAAATATAAATTTTAGAAACTAAATATATACAACTCAAAAAAAACATACGACTTATATATAAATTATATAAATATCGTTTAAGAGCGCGTTGTTTGATAATTATAATTGAGCATTATAATCTTTCAAGAAAATAGTGAAATAAATATCTTTATGGTACTGTCATTAAACATATGTATCATTGAGGTAGAGTATTTGAAAAACACTCTTCTACGGACATGCTTACAGACAAGAAACCAGCAGAGACATTGCCTTCTTATTATATATTGTTAAATTCAATCTGCTGCATTATTGCGATCACGGTTTGTTGATAACTGTTAATAATAAATATTATTACTCTGTTGAGCTGTCAATTGGCTGTATATTGCAATGTATGCATGTGAAAAATATATCATGTACGAGCTATGTCATTGCACATTGCGTTGCAATAATAAAGTAAATATAATCCTCTGTAAGAATATAATATTGTTGTAAATATCTGTAGTCTGTATAACACTGTATAGCATTAAATAAAACAACAAGTATCCGGCTGCAGAATTATCAGTACGAGGTGGGATGGCTGCTCCACCATCGGCATTTTAGTCGTTCTCTCCCCCATCATCAGCGTTCATCTTTACGATGAATAGGCACGGGACTTTATATGTAAACTAGTCTCCCAAACCTATATACACTGTCGACCTTCGTATGAATGATCATTCGAATGATCTTTATAGGCGTCTTATTACGGACGAAAACAATCAAGTGCGCGACCGTCAATCGTATTTGATTTCTTGTCCTCCATTCGTGTTTGTGCGACAAGAATTGCATACACGTTTCTCAAAAAGATTTAAAATTATAAATTACACCCGTGCACACACATGCACACCTCTGTGCACAGGACCTGGATTATTAAATACGGAATCAGCCTTGTGTCGTAACGTTATTTCTAGCTACTGTCGGTCAACTATGAAGATACGTTTCCTATTGAATCACAAGTTCACTAAACAATAAAGATAAACTCAATTTGTTACTATATCACAAAATGATACAACAAACTGGGCACGAGATATAATAGATTAAAAAATAAATAAACATCCTGTACACATTAGTGATACGTAGCATCAAATTGCAACATCCCACTAGCAAAATGCTTTGAATCACTAATCTGCGCCACCTCTACCGAGTAAGCATTATCGCCAGCTTGTGCCTGATACGATCTGAGCTTTGGTTCCGTGGTGCCACCACCACCACCGCTAGCCCCACCTTCCTCGGTGATACCCCGAGAAGGTGGGGCAGGAGCCGCTAAAAGCACCTTATTATCCACCTGAGTCTGAGCTTGAATCTGAGCTTGTGTTTGAGCCTGAACTTGTGTTTGAGTTTGAGTCTGAACTCCTCCCTGAACCTGCGTTTGTCCCTGTCCCTGTCCCTGGACCTGAACCTTAACTTGATGTTGGTAGATTTCTTCCTGTCGTTGCCTGTCTGCCACACTGAGGTCGTGGAAACTGACCAGGTGACGCTTCAGGTACAGCTTGGTCTTGAATGGCTTGTTACATAGAGGGCAAGTGACACTCTGAGGGTTGTGGATGAGGCGCATGTGCTGCCGCAGGTTGGACAAGTTACTGTACATGCGGTTGCACACAGGACAGGGGCGTGGGTCCAGCGAGTGCAGTTTACGCAGGTCAGCTGCAACACACACACAACTTGCTCTAACCGGTAGCAGCCCACAGCATTGCACGTTACCACAGCATAGCACCACGCCTTTTCACACCACGTATAATATCAGAATGATACCACCCACCACAGGACAGCAACAACCAGCAAACAACCCTATTTTTAGCGCTACCCAATTTTTGCTGCCTGCACGGTACAAAAAGAGTATCCCCCGCAAGAGTATCACTTGCAAGGATGCAATGAGTCAAATATGTTTGGCAGACAAAACAATGGTAATGCAGTAAGAAAAAACATATAGTTTGAAAACAATGGTAAGCATGAATCGATGAATGAGAACCAGTCAAAATTTTTTGTTTATATATTCATTGTAATCTCTTTAATTAGACGCAAATTCGTTTTTATATATGGTAACATATGATAAAAACATCAATTCAGGAGAGAGAATCACTTTAAAAAAACATATGTAGTTTTTTATTAATAAGTAGATTTGATGTCTTCATAGTTAGAAAAAGGGATACCGACAATAATTATCTAAAATTATTTTATATACAACTTAAGAACAACATATCATTAAGATTAAAATAATATTATAGGATTTGAAATCTGTTACAATTTGACACATTATTTCATACTTCTACTTGATTATTCATTAAAAACTTTATTCATTAATAATGATTATATTAATCAATATTTATTAATAATAGATTCTTTAATGCAATTATATTGTGCATAAAAAATAAGTGGCACCACATAAACATTCATATATCGTATTTAATTCAAAGCAGTATGTACAAGCTGATTTGAAAATTTGTCACATATATGTAAATATGGCATTTATAATGAGTAAACGAGAAAGCAAATGATTATAAGTCTTTGTTGATTTGAGTGTTAACTTTTTAATAAGCAATTATCCTTTATATTAAACACTTCTTTTCAGGATTAGGTTTAATCCAGCGTATGTATGTATGCTTTAATATACACATGTATGTGTATATGTATTAATATATGTATATATAAAGCAGGAAAACAAAAGATTATAAAGCATATTGGGATGGGGTTGTTTCTTGAATATGTACACGCAGGACTTTATTGTTAATGATTCAAGTTTTTCCGGGCTATTTCGGTAACGTTCATACAACGCTACAGCTGCTTAACTGCAAACTGCACTCTGTGGACTCAGGCCTATTGCAGCCTCCGAGTGTCAAATGTCTCCTACCGCCTACCAAGACCTACCGAGCTACACACGAGCTTACCATTTCAAACCATCAAGATTCCTTTCTGCTTCCTTGTTTCTATTCACATTTGACATTTGTGATGTAATGGCTAGGTTGTTGCTGTTTGTAATGGTGCTCGCACTACCAACAAATAGTAAATTCTGACTCACCTTGCTGCTCCTGATTTAATTCCGTAGTCCCATGTGATGTACCTGGCATTCCTCCTTCTACATTTTGGTTTCCTAAAATAGACACATTAACATGAATTTTAACATACAGTTTAAAATTTATATTATATAATAAAATAAGAAAAAAAGAACTATATTTAGAAGATTCAGTTATCACAAAACAATTATACAAGATAAAATGTCTATTTTTAAATTTTAATATTAATTTCTAATTTTAATTTTTTTTTAGACCAAACATATATCTCTCTTTCTCTCTCTCTCTCTCTCTTGTAAAATGATTACCTTGATAAGATGATGGATAAGATGGCAATACTTCCATACCACTATCCAAGCTGAGAAATCCACTGGGTAATGTATTAGCTTCCTGTTTAGGTGAGCAATCGTCATCACTGCCATATTCAGGTAATTCTATTTTTGGCTGAAAGTAAAAAGTTAAAAATAAATATCATAAGAATCCCTATGTATATGTGGTATATTGATATTATCGGAAATATTTGGCTGTGATACAATATGAATAAAAATATATACCTCAACAATATCGAGATCTTTATAACAATCGAGCTGAACTTGAGGCTCGATAAGTGGGCGCGAGCGAGGTGCAATAGTAGCACAAGGCGGTATAGAGGGTGTTGGACTAGAAATTGGAGGTGAATCACTTTTTTTACACAGCCTTTTCAGTGGAGGAGGGCTTGAAGGTGGTGGAGTTCTACTGCGTTCATCGTCAAAGCTCGGTGAGATCAGATCACGGCCATTTGATGCATGGATGTTGTTTGTCTTCAAATGCTGCAAATTATTAAAAATTATACATTACATTATATACACATGCATCACACGTATATATGAACACAATAGCAATAGGAGACATGCATAAATGTACAAACTTATGTCAAACAAACCTTTTCATTGTTGTGCTGATTACTTTGGGAGTCGGTGAGGCCACGAATTTGAAGAGATTCAGCAGTACGCAGAAATGTAGGTAATTCGGCCTGCGAGATATTTACCTCTCCGGCGTACATAAATTCCAATAGCGATTGTAGATGTTCAAACTCAACATCTCGCATGAAAATTATTGGATGCTTGCAAGGATTTGTCTGCAAAATAAAAATTTCATGTAATACTATAAATTATTAATTACATATTTTGAAATATTTATAGAAGCAAAAAGAAATGTGAAACCAATAACAAATTATGAAAAAAAGTTATCCTTTCAATCTTTTTTTTTAAATATCAAGTATATACAATATTATTATTATTATTATTATTATTATTATTATTGCTTTCGAGATAACATATCTCTTGAATTTTCTTCGAGAATGCTTATGTACTGAAATAGCTTCAACGGCGATTGTCAATCGGTCAACAATCGACGTGAGCTCGAATCGATCCCCTTGGTTATCGAACATGATGGAGGGAACGAAGAGGAGACGAGAGGAAGAACGAAGAGAGCGGGGAGGGCGGCTGCCGCGCCGGAGGACGCAAAGGGGGAAGAGGGGAGAGGGAAAGGGGGAAGGGAGGATAGAGGCGGGGAAGAGAGGGATTACGTCTAAGGTGGGGAGCGAGAAGAAAATGGTTTTCTAACCTTGAACAGCTCCTTGAAGTAAGGACTGCACGCGGAAAGGACGACCTTGTGCGCCTGGAGTCGCCTGCCGTCGCACGCGAAGGTAACGTCGACGAAGTCCTCGTCATCTCGCAGCGCCTCGAACTGGCTCGTGATGTTCGCCTGAAAGTTATTCCACCGCAAGCAAAACTGCTGCTGGCTATCCGTCATTCTCTTCGCACGCTCGACTCCCCTTCAACAACACCTACGATCACACATGTGGGGGCTAACTTATAGTACCATACGCCCGTGGGAAAAACTTAACTCTCTCATTACTGTAAAAATGTAAAATGTAAAAAGAGTGAATCGATGACTGAAGAGGAAACGTACGATATAAATAATGACAATCGATATCCAGGTTGCCAGCTGTCGGGCAGAAAAATTCTCTAGGCGACGAACGGCGGTCGCGCCTCTCGCGAGGCGCGAGAAAACGGCGTGATTCGGTACTCGCCGGACATCATTTCCATCGAATCTATCCCGCGAAAAATTCGGGCCACAAGCTTTTGACGTAGAGTTCCACACGCACATTACGAAACTTGGTAAATGTTTTTTATATAAATTTAAATAGATTATACATATATATCGGACAGTTTAAATAATTCTAAAATTTGTCTATTTTTTTATATTATATAAAGAATGCGAATTTTGTATATTAAAAAGATTATCAAAATATAAAACGTCATTTTCCAATTTCATCTCGGAAATAAAATGATCGCATCATGATTCTTAAACGACTAATTCATTTAAGTGATGGAATCTATTCGAAAAATTTTTGTTCTCTCAAATGTATCGTTTATTAAAAATCAGGATTGAAAAATGGTTCTCAATTGGAATAGATTTCGATGTTAATTTACGACAATTATCTCTCTGTTCATTGATGACAATAAAAATTGCTGTAAGCTACATATATTCTTAAATTTTATATTATTCGCAATAATAAAAATTGAAATAAGGTCTTTTTTTATACGTTACGCATATCGAAAATAGAATGTACAGCGATTATACCAATATCAATGGTCGTTTCATATTCATGGCGGCGATTTACGTCATACTCCAAACGAATTATCCCTAGACGTCGCATCCAGTCGCGAAGTTTGGACGGCGCGTGCGCTATCGACAACGCGCGCCCTCGCGCCGACTGTCGAAACTGACGGCGGACGAAACGGATATCGAATTTTCGGAAATAATAAGCTACACATGCAACAATGTGCTTCGATCCTGCTGCAAGTACATACGTGCATGCGTGTTGCGTAATTACGAATGCTCGTTCATGGTATATGTGCGATGCAAAAATATGGCCGCTTCGTTGCGGAAACAAAAAACCTTGTTATCGTATCGTGTAATAAAATTAATGCAACACGAATAGCAAATTAACGAGAGATTTATAATAATATAATCAAAGGGCAAAAGAAACATTAGTTTTTTTTATTACTGGCAGAATTAACTTTTCCATTTTTACACGGGCATGTATTATATATATATATATATANNTTCAATCAAAAAATTCATTATTTTATACTGAAAAAAAAACAAATAATAGAGAATTGCAAAATCTCGTTCGAATAAATAATATAAATATTATTTATAATCAATATATTTAATGATATTAAATGCAACATTTATTCTTCAATTTAATATGACAGGGACTGTTTGACCGAGCGTTAGAACTGCTCGATGTGAAGTTAGCCGAAGGAACGCTCGAAGGGCGTACTACATATAATTATATTACCCGCGAAATTTGATACCCGGCATAATAAAGCGACGTTCATGCTTTTACGTTCGTCTAAAGTGAAACACTTATGAATCGAACGCATTGTATCTAGGTAATTCATACACCATGAGCGATTGATCAAGCGAAGCCCCGCAAAAAGTTATTATTTTATCGATTAATTTAATATCGTAAAATTTGTTATTCATCTTTTGACGGTATGTCCAACTTGTTACACGCGCCAAACTGTCGTTTACATGACGATCAGACGCAGAATTATGAAAACGATTGTTATATCGTATCACATACATGGAGTGTAAAATTTGAGTCATGGCGCACATAATATCTATAAGTACGACACGCTCGATCCACCGGTGGCCAACTTCAGACAAAGGCATAAACGACGCCGAGTATACCCGCGGTCGTATGCGCATTCTGTGAAGCGCTCGTGGATCTCTCGTAGGCCGCACACACGATTTTATCCTATATTTAACGCGTGGCTCTCTCGAGTTCGGTGTGACGTCTCTCGTCTCGTCCGCGTGCGTCTCTCGATCCCGCGGACTCTCGCTCTCGCTTCGCGTCGCTCGGTCCTGTTCGCGGCGGAGTTCGGACGGAACGCGACACGCGAGAGCGCGGTGTCCCGAGTTTATAGGGAAATATGTCAGTGACGTGAACGTGCACGCGGTAGCATCGAGCCCTTTGCGTTTTACGAGCAACAAGAAGAATGTGCGCCAGGCATCGACGCACGGTAAGAATGGATCGAAATCCGTCCCGTGTCCCTGTCTTCGTTTCTCTCTCCTGCGATGCCGCCGTCCTTTAACCTAATTCCGCCCTTTAGGCTCTCTCGCCTTCTCAGGTTACTGCGGGAATGATCAATCAATACGTACATTAAAAGGAACACTCGAGCGGCCTCGAGTTCGATCACGCGAATACATCCGCGAGTGTAACTCGCCCGCGCGGTTCGATGCACGCGTCGCGACGTCAACAGCTGATCGAACGACTCCTCTCCTGGCCCGAATCGCTCTTTCTCGACCTTTATCGTGCACCCGTGCTGTGATACGCGAAGGGAGGGGGCGGACAGGTGTATCCGGGACAGTTGAAGCATTTAACGTGATCACGCGTACCTTGTACTTTGCACCGGGTATCTCTTTTTTTTTTTCATAAGATATAACGCTCTTATAACCTAAAAGATGAACTCCAGTCAGAGTCGGAGATTCCCCCCCTGTCTCTCTCCCCCTATCCTTCTCCTTTCCATCGTTTATTCACTTTATCTTTTTTTTTTTTGCAGGATTTATGCGTTATAGACATTCGTTTGATGACGATGTACGATTTCTACATGATGCATGATTTATGTAACAATATGGTCACTGTGAGAATTCTTGCAAGACACTTTGTATCATAATGATTACTTCTCACAGATTAATTCTATATCTAAACAAAGATTTCTTATCATATAGAAATTGGGACATAGATAAAGGATGATTAATAATTTTATAAAATAGTAGTTAATCGAGAAACGATAAAATAGTGATTAATAGGAAAGGTAGATATACATAACCATTATTGCATAACTTGTCAATTTAAAAATGATTACTTTAGTAGTAAATAATCAAATATAATTTAAAATCACATTTAACAGTAGAAGAAAAGGTCTGTTGTAAAATTTAATCATATATTGTTTTTTATGTGATTTCAGTATCTGCACAACTTCTTTCATTGGTGATTGTAGTGGTTTCCCATAGTGGAAACCGAAAATTTTATACTACGTTACGGTGAGTAACTTCAATTAAATTTACCTTTATATATATATAATTATTTATATTTTCTAAATTTCTTCAAGACATAGTTAAAAATCAATTTTATTCAGCATCAAAGATTTTTTTAATATCAATATTTGTAATACTTAGAAAAGCAATTTAAAAATAGATCAATAAGCCATATAAGTTATTCTTCTCAAAAGTCCTAATTGAATAAAAAAAATAGATTTTTTCCATTTCTCTCTGGCTTTCCCAAAAATGACATTTAATCTTATCTTCGTCTAAATGAGCAGTGCTAAGCATGTGCGAATTATATGACAAGGGATGATAGGCTCATACCTTTTTGCGACTCCAAATATTACTCTAAGGCTTCATGAATCTCACGACCATCCAGCGGAAGCACCATAGAGCACTGAAAAGACTACATAACTATTGTATCATATCAACCGAGCATTACCTTAATCTTGGTAGGAGTCGAACGGACTTGGCAATGTACAGTCTGTGCAGAAAATGCTTTGACACGATCCAAATGAATATCGGCTCTGTTAATGAGATGTCCACTTTTCCGGGATCACTTCATCGCGATTGAGTCAGTTCTTCGTTCTTGCGATTAAAGTATATTCTTGCAGTTACACAATCCGTTCTAGATAACATAAAGTATCTTTTTTCAGCAGAAAAGATAAATTATAAAAAAATCTTACTTGAGTTTATGATAATAACAAAAATAGACATTTGTCGAAGACGTATTATTATTATTATTATATGATTTTCCATTTAAATTAACTATATTTATTTTGCAACATCTATCTTTATGTGATTGTAATACCTATAATAAATAATTATATACCTACATACATATATATCTTTATACATATATATATTTAATCTTTTTTCTTGTGTTTTAATTTTTTTACATTTATAATTGTGCAAACGTGAAATTATAGATATTTTTCAAATTTAGCTTTTGCTTTACAGGAAGCATTCATATCTAATTGCAAATATCTCATTTAGATAATCGTACCCATAATATCTCTTTTGAAAAAGATGCACAAGAGATAACAGAGTAGATTACTGTTGCATAATTTCGTCTGTAAAGCGCGAGTACGATTAATTGAACAAACGTATGGGACGAGCTCGTCGTCCATTTATCGACCTCCCCCCAGCTTTCGCCGGCGCGTTAATTGTCGGTCAGCAATTACAAATTTTATTCGGCGCGCTCGCGAAAGCCTGCGGCGGCGACGGCCTGGGACGGGGGGGG